GAGGTGGCACTTAAGAAGGATTTGAAGTTTCTAAGAGTGGAGATTCACGTATAGGTATGATAGGATTTCCATCTGTGGGTAAGAGTACACTGCTTACAAAACTTACAGGAGTGTTTTCTAAAATTGCAGCCTATGAATTTACAACTCTGACATGCATACCTGGAGTAGAGAATATTCAATATATTAATAGGTCTTATAACATAAAGGTGCCAAAATACAATTACTTGATTTACCAGGAATTATTGAAGGTGCTAAGGATGGCAAAGGTAGAGGTAAATAAGTTATTGCTGTGGCTCGTACTTGTAATTTAATATTGATTGTGTTGGATGCCACAAGACCTATGGTTCATAAAAAAATCATAGAAAGAGAACTTGAAGGATTTGGAATCAGATTAAATAAATAACCACCATAAATAGAATTCAAGAAACGAGACAAAGGTGGTATTACTATTTCTAGAACACATGATGCTCCAAGATTAGATGATGAGACAATAAAAGTATTTATAATGTAAATTATATTAAATAGGCCATCTTACGTGAATATAAGATTAACAATTGTGATATCAATTTTAAATGTGATGCTACAGATGAAGATTTAATTGATATTATTGAAGGTAATCGTAAATATATTCCATGTCTTTATGTAATGAATAAGATAGACGATATCACTTTAGAAGAACTTAATGTTTTGGATAAGATTCCACATTATGTTCCAATTTCTGCATTTTTAGAATGGAATTTAGATGAATTAGTAGAAAGAATTTGGGATTACTTAGATTTGATACGTATTTATACTAAACCAAAAGGATTAGAACCAGGTATTTATATATAGATAATTTTAAATAGATTATAATGCTCCTGTTATATTGTAAAGAAAGTTTTCAACAATAACTGATTTTTGTAATAAGTTACACAAAAATATGATTAAGGATTTCAGATATGCACTTGTATGGGGAGCTAGTGTGAAATACAATCCATAAAAAGTAGGAAAGGATCATTAATTATTAGATGAAGATGTTGTTTAAATTGTTAAAAAAATCTGAATTTAATAATAAATTTATATATATATATATGTTACGAAATCAACTTTAATTCCAGCAGTCTTGTTAAACAAATATAGAATCTATCAAGAATCCAAAGAGAACTATTAAGCCACATTAATACGATTCTTGCATTAACAATCCTCTCACTTAATAGTTCTCTAATATTAAATTGGCATCCACATTAAGTATGGGTAGATCCATATTTCAGAAACAATTAGAATAAATGAAATAATAATATATTGTTAGAACTGGATATATTAGGATAGCTGATCCTGAAATATTGAAGGAATTATTTGAATTAAACTTAGAGAATATGAAAAAGAAATACTCTAAGTATAGTAATATACATTAACTGAATATACCTAAAGAGATGATTAAAATATTCATGAAATTTGGTTATTAAGAAATAAATAAATTTATGTAAATGGCTATTGTTCACTTATTGTTTGAATATAAATCTTTATTGCAATATTAGGATAAATGGGAAAAAGATGCTGTCATAGCATTAACATCAATAGCATTTATTAAATAAGATTGTTTATATCCTTAAGTAATGATTGTTTCTCCAGATGATCAAAGTGCTATAGCTATCAAGGTTATGCTTGATCATCTAAATATATACTATAACAATGTGTATTAAGTATCAAAAAAGAATTCTATTGTTTAAGACAGAAAGTCATTAAAGGAGGCATAGATTGTAATAGGAACTGCAGATCGTTTATATTATGTAATTTATCAAAAGTATTTGAACCCAATATTTTTGGAGAGTGTTGTATTCTAAGAATTTAGTCAAACTACAGATTTAGGTTATAAGAAAGATATTGAAAATATACTCAGAATACTTCCAAAATCCACATCTAAACATTTCTTCTTCAGTTAAGTTTTTAATATAGAAGAACATGATATATTAGATATATGAATCTTTTTTGATATTAAGAATTTCAATTAAAATATTAACTGTTTATATATTATTTTTCTAAATGGTAATTTTTCATTAACTCTTTGGTAAAATACTATCCTTATATAAGATTCCTCTAATAAAATGATTTTAATTGTCAACATAAACATCAGTTGTCAATTCAGTACTTGGTGGAACTGGATCAACTTTAGCTTATTCAACAGCTATATCAATTTCATTTTATGCAGTGTTATCAATTTCCTAGATAAAGTATAAATTATTTAATTACTTCCAATTAATGTTCATCAGCAACTTTATTTTCAAGAATAATATTTTTAACATAGTTAATACAATCTCTGGTCTTTCTTTATTATTAAACTTCTTCTCTTGTTCTATAAGTAACACCTGGATCACTCATAGAATGTCCATGATATCTGTAAGTCATGGCTTCAATAAAGATTGGTCCCTTATCAAGACAATGTTTCTTGGCAAATTTGAGTGTCTCTCTAACTTAGAAGACATTATTTCCATCAATCTAACAATTTTTATAAAATATATATACTTGTATTCCTGGAATTACATCACCTCTTGTATAGAATTTGGTATTAGCACTTGCTCTGTCAATTGATGTTCCCATACCAAATAAGTTATTTTCAATGAAATAAATAGCTGGTAAATGCCATAATTGAGCCATGTTGGCAGCTTCATATAATTATCCTTAATTAGCTGCACCATCTCCAAACATAATTAAAGTCACATTTGGCTTTTTGTTATACTTTTAAGCAAATGCTAATCCTGTTCCCAATGGAATTTAGGCACCAACAATTCCATGACCACCATAAAAATTTGTGGCTTTTTTGTAATAATGCATTGAACCTCCTTTACCCTTTGTACTTCCTGTTTACTTTGCCATCATTTCAGCAATAATTTAATGAGGAGTATCACCTCTAAGTAATGCTATGCAATGATCTCTATATGCTGTAATAACACAGTCATCAAATGTTAATGCTGCATGTAATCCTTCATAAATTGATTCTTGACCATCAGCTAGATGTAAGAAACCTAGAAATATTAATTAAATCTTAATACCTCTAATCAATCTTTGTTTGTATAGATTGTCACAAGCAATTTCCATACGTCTTTACAATTACATACTCTTATAATAAGCAAGCAATTCAGCAGATGTTGTTGTAGTTGTTTGTGGAAGTTGGTCAAGTTCTAAATGATGCACTTTGAAAGGAGGCTAAACTATATAAATTCTATTGTACTAATTTGACAGAAATACTCGAAAAACAGGACCTGGAGATTCTGAAAATCATTAATGAATAATTTAAAATATATTTATATATTTATAAGCATAGATTATTTTATTAAATATACTTATTTAATGAGTATTAATTTGTAATTTTTAGGTTATTTTTGTGTCCTCTTGATAGATTAACTGAATTCTAAAATTAAGTCACTTTACTCTTATTTTTCAAATTGGTTATAAATTTACTAAATATTGATTATAATAAATTATCATTTACAAACCAATATAGATATTTATCATAAAAATTAATTTAATTAATTTTTTTTTGATAAAATATTAAATGTATTTATTATTATAATATTTTCTCCTTTTAAATTAATCATTAATGCCTTATTTATGCTTAAAATTAAAAATGGATATAGTTTAATTAATTTGATTAAAAATTGAGATGGACTAGCATTTACTAACTACATCTTGTGGTGAAGATGAAGAAGAAAACAACAACATGAAACAAGTCTAACTAGTTGTGTTTCCCAAAAGGTTTCTTAATCCCCTTTCAACTTTTAGAATGAATGGAGTAATATTCCTTTTTACTCTTTAAAAATAGGATTTTCATCTCTATTCTGATGCCAAAAATATTGTCTTTAATAATAATCTCAAATTGGGTGTTAGCAGCCAAAATCCATACAAAAAGGTCTCTCAGGTTCTGATCTAAAAGGGAAGACTTATCATTTAGTATACCCAATTAGATTTTTCGATAACTCCATGGGAATATGTTGTAAAAAAGTTGGATAGTTATGGTGATTCAGATATTCATTAACTGAGTCAATACATTTAAAAATACAATGAATCTCTTAAAGATGGTCTTTAGTAAGTGCAAGGAACATTCGAAGTATGTTTAAAACATAACAATTAATTAGAATTCTGTACCTAACTACAGAGCCTCTGGACTCTATCAATACAAATACATAAAAGATCTCGACCAGCTATTTATCTCCCAAGTCTAATATGATATTAACCTCATTGAAGAACTTGGTTATAATGTATAGGCATTCATTGATTCTTGTCTAAAGTATGGAATTCCAGAGTATTTATATCATTTAAATTCTTTTTAGGATCTCTCTAAAGTATGGAAGTACAAATTAAGAATATTACAAAAATATAATGGAATTTGCTAAGCCATTAGCACATCCAGAATAGACCCAAGAATATTATTTATATTCTCATGTATATCCAGAGGTATTAAATAAATAAAAAATAAAAGGGATTAAAGACTGAGGTAACTTTGTAAGTCGAACACTTAACTAATTCAACAGAAGAAGAGTAACTAATCAACTTCAATATTTATTATAATTATTAACCACACTAAAAATCCATCTCATTCAATAATAATGACAAAAAGACTAAGTAACTTAATTGTATTTCCCATTACTATTAACTATAAGAGAATTAATTTCAAAGATGTGGATATAAAAAAGTGAAAATTTGAACACTTATTATATCTAACGACAATCCATATTATATATTTTTGATAAATTTATTTAATTTTATAACAGTATATTCCCTTTGATTCTAAAATTGATTAATTCAACTTGTAATTATTAACCATATAATCTTCATTTCATCTTTTTCATAACCATAAATAAAATTAACTAAATTTTTTCAAGAATTCAATTTCAACTTCAACTCAAACAACAAAAAAGACTTAAGAATAAATTAATTATCTCAAAATGATAACATTAATTTTTATTTAACTTACATTTTTATTTCTTTTAAATTATAATATTATAAATATAGTGTATTCATATTCAAACAGCAAGTGATTTTCTATAATTATTTTTTTGTTTCAAAATTATCCTTCTTTATTATTCTTAGTCTAATTATTATTCATATTAAGGATCATTCATTGAAATATAAAATCCATTACAAAAATGAGAAAAATTCTAATAGAACTTTGAATATCCATCAGACAATAGATATAAATTGTTATATGTTAATTTTGGATATTAATTCATACTTCTATCTAGTTTTCGAATCTCAAAATATCTAAAAATTATAAATTATATTAATACTTTTCGAGACTTCTTTTTATTGAAAATTCACAATACAAAACCACAATTTTCTTTGATTATCCCTATACACAGAATAATTCATCGAATAGATTTGTAGAATGATTTAAATTAATAGCTCCCTTTATATGTCCACCTTAAAATTCATATTAATATCGACAATCATAAATAATTAGATCAGGTGACTTAATGGTTTTAACCTAAAGTATAATTATATATAATACTAATGTTTCACCATCTATATACTAAATTGAATTCTCTAAACGATATTCTAACAACAAATCTTCTTACTACTCCTTCAATATTTTATTCCTAATAGTTAATTATTTGTTTATTACATATCATATATATATTTATTCATTCCAACATCTTGTTCTTTTTATTCTTCTTCTTGTTACTTGATTCTCTAAACCCCTTCTAAACAGTATTGATTTTCATCAACCTATTCTCTTTTTATTTTCTTTCTACAACAAAGACCATTTGTTTAACAATCGTCATTTATTTCCTTAAAATCATTTTATTTTAAGATTAGTAACTTAGATTCTGCCTGATTTACTAAGGATTTCATTAATAAGTTTTTGAGAAAGATATCCATTTTTTAATACTATAGATTGAAGTTATTTTAATTAGAAGAAAATTCATTCATTAAGAATGTTCTTCAGAGAATTAATCTTAAATTAATTTATCCTAATTAAATATTTTTAATATATTAAAAAGCATTTATTATTTTATTGAACTTTGTTAATAACAGTCAATAATCTATAAATACAAGATGGTACATCAATTAAGTTAAATTTTAACATGTATTTTATAGTTTTTGAGTTGTAAATATAAAAATTTTTGAAAATACAATTTTTAAAAAATGCGGTAAATTTAAAATTATGGTAATTATAATCATGGATAAAAAGCTTTTGTATACAATTTAATCTAAAATAAACTAATAACATTTGCAAAGTTTATTTCTTAAATAAAAACAACTTTATTACTAATGATTATGTAATTACATAATATTTTTAGAAATAAATTTAAGTAAACTTAGAATCTAAATAAAACTACTTTGAAGTGTAGTTTATACCATAAGAGATTGAAATAAAATTTCTAGATTTTAATATTAATTTAGTTATGAATATAATAACTAATATATTCATCAAAAGAATTATTATTATCATAAAAAAATGTCACTTATAGATTATGCTACAAAATTAATGAAGTAAATATTTATTAATAATTCTAGTCTTTATTGTGTATTTCAAATAACTTGGAAGACCTATTAAGCTTTCAAAAAATAGAATTAAGAATTTGAAGACACTTTATTAATTAAATGGTAATGTTATTGAGAATATTTTTAGGGTACTACTTTACTCTTTTATTGAACTTGAATGGATGCTTATTTTATTTTTAAAATTAATTCCCTTTGGTTTCTTATGTCCATTTATTATTAAAGGATATATTACATTACCTCACTCAAAATGGCATGATTTTGTATATAAATTGATATAAAAATTGGAAATGGATGAATATTCTAATACTTTTTATATTTACTTTACTAAATTTATGAGATATCTTCTTATTCCTTGTTTAGGAGTATGTGATTTTATTTAGTCTTTAAGGTTGTGGAGAATTGTATAGATTTAGTAAGAGCTGATGAATTAGAAGCTTTGGAATAAAAAGTTATTAGGATAAAGGAGAAGATATTAAATAAAATTTAATCTGTAGAAATGAATAAGTAATAATAAAGAATAAGACATTCAGAGTTTACATAAGATAACAATAATAAATAAATTTAAAGTGTATTAGCTAAAGTTTAAGATAATCATTAATTTAAAGATTATATTTTAAATTTCAATCCATTAAATAATGAAATTTAATTTATAGATCCAATAAGTAGAGAATGTATTCATAAAAGTAATAATAATTAATATTGAATTTAGGAAATTTAGCACTTATTAGTATAAGTGAAGATTTTTAATTAAAAGCAACATATGATGATGGAGATGATAATTTAGAATTAATAAAATTACATAATAGTGAAGATATTAATTAATGGTTAATACCAGTTGTTGAAATTTTGATTTAATAAAATTAAGGTGAATGATTATGAGATTTAGTTTATTTACAGATATTAAATTTTTTTATTTTTTTCAATTATGTATATCTTTATTTAAGACATTAGAAATGAAAATATATTTCGAATGATGAAGTTTTAATAATACATAAAATAATTTAATTTATTTAATTTGGTAAGATATGAAACCTGCTTAAAATTCATTAAATGCTAAATAAAGTGGTGAATTCAAAGCTTTAGTGGTATGAATAATCACTTAAAATAGAAATTGCTTGATGCTAAAGATTATAAAAAGGGTCTTAGAAATACAGAAAAATTATTGGAGTAAGTACCTGATAATTGGGAAGTCGTATCTCTTAAGGCCATTTTTATGTATTACAATGATGAACAACAAAAAGGATTAGAATTAGCTAAGCAAGCAGTGTTTAAGAATTTAGGATCAGACTTTTGTTGGCATATTTATGGTTTAATTTATAAGGCCTAAAAAAATTATATTGAGGCTGTAAAATGTTTCCTATAAGCAATTAAAAAAGGAGAAGAAAACATTCAATTAGAGAGAGACACAGCTAATTTGTAAATTCATACAAGGGATTTTGAAGGAAATGCTTAACTTAGACATAAGATATTGACAAAAAAATCAAACATGATTGTGAATTGGATAGCATTCATATTTGCTTAACATTTAATTGGAAATTATGAAATAGCATTTAAAGCAATTAGTTCAGCTGAATAACTAATCTAAAAGGATTAATAGAATCCAATTAAGAAAGTTGAAATGAATGAATTTAAATTATATTAAATCTAACTTGCCATAGATGCCAAAGATTATTAAAAAGCCAAATAAAGTATAAATGCATTCAAAAAGTATAATATTCTTTATAATAAAAAGTGACATTACAGATATGGTGGCATATTATGAACTCTAATATGATTTATATATCAAATTAGGATAGACTTAAGAAGCAGTAGAAGCAGCAAAACATCTTTTAGAATTATAACCATAAAATTGGAAATACTATTAATTATTAAAGAAGGCAGATCCATAATTTGATTTATCAATTTATGATAACACTTTAGTATAGGGTTAATTATTAGCTGAATAAAGTGGAGATAAATTTAAAACTAATTTTTTGAAATTTATTGATCCATTTTTTTAGAAGTCTCTTCCTTCTTTATTTAGAGAAATTAAGCATTTATATAAATAAAATGAGAAATTGGATATTATTAGAGAATCATTTGAATCTTATTTAAATGCAGGTCCAATTTAAAAATTATGGGCATTGATGCTTTTATCTTAACATTATTATTAAATTAAATAATATGAAAAATCATTACAATTAGTTGAAGAAGCAATTACCCATACACCAACTTTACATGAATTGTATTTAATTAAAGCTAAGGCATTACATAAATAAGAAAAATTCAAGGAGGCCTATGAAGCAGCAGATAGAGCAAGATAATTAGATTTAGCTGATAGATATTTGAATAATAAAACAATTAAATATGCATTAAGAGCAAATATGGTTTATTTATCTTAAGAATTATTAAGAATGTTTTTAAGAGATGGATCAAATCCATATGAATTATAAATGATTTGGTTTGAATTAGGAGTTGGTAGAACATTATTAAGATTGAATTATTTAGGACCAGCATTGGCTTAATTTTATTTGATTTTTAAACATTATTAAGAAATGTATGATGATCAATTAGATTTTTATTAATTTTCAATAAGGAAATACACATTAAGATCATTATTATAAATGTTTGATGCTATGGATACTAGATATAGTGCTAAATATTTTATTGAAACTGCAGGTCTAATGATTGAAGGTTTGAATAGATTAAAACTCAAATAATAGGATTAAGGGAAAGTAGAGTAGAAGAAATTAACACCAAAAGAGAAGAAATAATTATAAAAGTTATAATAAAAGTAAGAGGAAGAGAAACATTTAAGAGAATAGTTTTCAATTGAAGGACATATTTATAGTAATGAATTATAGAAGAAATTTGATCTTTCAGGAGAATATTTATTATCATAATTAAAGACTGAATAAGATATTATTAAGTTATAAAATCAATTTGCTTAAGTTTTGATACATACAAATTATCACAATAAGGAAATTAACTTTTAAGCATTCAAACAACTTGTCTCTTTCTATATTCAATAGAATAGACCTCTTTTGAGTGTTAAATTATTAAACAAACTCAGAAACAATTAAACAGAATCAAATAAAATTGTTAATCATAAATATTAATTAATGCTAATTCAATATTGTAATATAATATATATATATTTTAAATAGTAAATTCTTATAAAGGACCTTAACTTTAATATGTTTAAGAATACTAATAAGATTTGAATAAATTTGATGCTGATTTTTGGAAGAGTGTTGAGATTAAATCTAATTTAGATAAAATTATCAGTATATTATTTATATAATAATCAATATAGAATCACATTGTGAACATATTTTGTAGAATAAAGCTTTTAATGTTTAATAATTAGAATCAAATGATTTGGAATTCTTATAAGAATATCCTAATGCAAAAGTATATAAAATGTTTATAATAGACAACTAATCCATTTTATACAAGTGATCCTAATTTAGAATGGTAAAATAATTAGATTAGCTAATTCTAATAAGCATAATAGACATAATAAGTATCATAATAATGAAGTGTGGAGTAAATTATATATATATAAATATATATAAAATTAATATTATTTCAAAATGTTTATATATGATGAAGATAGGATTTTAATTAATTTAATAAAATGTTAGTTCAGCTTATACCAATAAAATGAAATTTCTAGAACATTATTAATTTTAATAAATTTTTATAAGTATGAAAAAAATGACTTAAACAAGAAAAAAGAGACCATAGAAATATAATGTTGTGGATGACCAAAAAAGATAACAAATAGTGGAAAAAATATTTCAGGAAAAGATGAAAATTAAAGAAGTAATGTTATAGAACACTATTTAGGTTGCTTAATTATTTTAAATTCCACTATCGACTGTCAAAGCAGTAAAATCAGTTTATCTAAAGGAAGGAAGAATTTAAAAGAAAGCAAAGAGGAACCGTTCCAAAAAGTTTATAACAACAATTATTGTTGCACTTATTGACAAGTAAGTTAACTTTGTAGCATCATGACTTACAGAAACAAGATCCCCACAGATGTGAATGAGATCTAAAAATATACTAAAGTGTAATTTGGCCATACAAATTAAAATGGGAATGTGACTGAGTAGTGCATGAAATAAGGGATAGATTTACTTATGTAGATGTTGACCTAAATTCGAAAGAACTAACCATCCATTGGTAAACATTCCGCTATGCTATCAAAGTTATTGAAGAATTATTAATAATAATGTTAATCATTTGATTGATCAAAATGCTTATAAATTTTCTTATATTTTCTTAATTACAGCATCTACTTCTCTTTTTCTAACTACTGGTAATTTTCCATAAATCACTTTCTAATTTAATCTATAATACATTTTACCTTATATTTTGGAAATATTTTT